ATATATATATATATATATAAAGAAGTAGGAGTGGTTTACATAAAACGTTAGAGGGTATTCATTTAGATATAAAGGAAATGTAAAAATGTGTATTTCAGTTAGACAAAGATAACAAAGAAATGTATGGGAGATAATTTTGAGGAATGTGATATGGTGAATAATGCAGTGATGAATCATTAGAAATGTTCTAAGCATTTAATGTATGATAAATTCTCTCGGTTTTTCCGACACCTATTGTTCACCTTTTTTACCGTTTTTTTTAAAACAAAAAGCTCATTCTCAGTGTCGTTTCTGATGGAAGAATGTTGGATGAGACGTAATTCTGAATTTTTCGCTGCAACGAGATCAGATTCGGAGTAGGGATTCTTTGTAGCTTATATCATCAAATTCATGCAATTGAGTAAAAGCATAAACTGAAGGGATTAAAACAACATGTCATTAATTCTTTACTACTTGTCCCTGGTAATTGTCCAGTAGTATTGTCCGTTAGTATTTCTCCACCTACTATTATATGCATCCGTATCTGAGGCAATTACTGCTAAATCTAAGTTGTCGTGGATGTTAAAGTTTTCTGAGAAATACTTATTGCCTGAATGATTTTGTCAACCTACTAAACTTTGTAATCGTTTCATGTGTTTACGGAAGTATGCCCTAACTGCGGATCTTCCGTTGGCCATAGAATGGACATTTCTTACCTGGAATATTCTGAACTGAAGCGATTCATAGCAGAAGATTGAACCAAATGATGTATGCCATCGATATAGTGAAGAACAAGGCGACGTACAGAATTTCTGACGTGCCAGAAATGCTCGAATGGAAGCTTCTTATTTCAGACTAGTTGGAATTAAACGACCATGTTCAAACAGTTTATAATTCATGCCATTCACATTACTTTATATGTTTTTCTCTTTTGCATTCTCATTTTCCGATCTCTGAACTGGCAGTTTATAAATGCGCTTTTGGACTACTAGAAATAATGAGAGGTTGAATGTTTCGAAAACGCAGTGAATGTGGTAATTTGCATAATTGAAACTGGCATTTTGTTGGTATTAAATGTAACTGGTTAAAGGCATAGTTCTGATGACATACAGAATGTAAGGATTTGCATGAATTAAAACTGGCGGATTATTGGTATTAAATGTCATTGGCTAAAGGAATATTTGATCCGTACGGTATTGAATAACTCTGTTTGTATTTGGTGGCATTGTTATGGAAATTTTCGGTTTTGTGGCGTTAGTCAATTGTTAATGCAAACATATTGAGACATATTGGACATTACTGGAATCGTAATTAGCCATTATTGGAATCTTAATTACATCACAATTGATTATATTCCAATTTTGATTAATTTTGATCATACGGGGCAAAAACCAAATATTTAGAATATCTCCGAAAATGATATACCATCTCGTTATCAATGCAAGCAGCCCGTTAGTGGAGAAGAATTTTTGTCCTCAGTTTCTTTTGTTTTCTATCTTCTTAGTTAGCTGGTGACATTCTATGCGTATGATCTGTTTCATAGCAGTTAATGGTTTACTTGTATATTCATACCAAAAACAAATAATATTTTATCATGACATAGTAGTTGTATCTTTCAACCTTTACTTAATGACATTTCCGCACACTATCATTTATAAAATGGAGTAACAAGAACTACAGCGACATTTTCAAGGGACATGTAGAATGGAGCCATTTGAACTACTGCACAAATGGATAACAAGATATATATATTGGGCTGATATTATTATCAATGTCCAAATTCTTTTTGAAAATTCCATTTAATGTCAAAAAAAATATGTTCTACTACTTCCTATTTATAATTTCTTATTTGAACAGTTTTCTAAACCATAAGGATTATATGCTAAATATTTGAATGCGTATTAAATTTAGAAAAATGACACACTTCTGAAACTCTTCAAACTGTTGTTTAGATCACTTAATTAGCATATTTAACACTAAATTACACGAATAGCAAATTGAGTGACCACAGAAAAGAAGCGAAAATTTTCTTATCAGTGTTTCCAGTTAAATGTCCTGCTGGCTCTCCCAGCCAAATCTCCTTTGTTTTTGAATATTAAATTAGACAATTTTTGCTGATGACATGTTTTGGAATCTACATATAGAAATACACAAATGTACAATAATCGAAATATAGTAGTGATAAGTGAGCAATAAAATGAATTAATCAGCAGCAAATATTTTAAACACACAATTTCAAATTACAATCACTTCAATAATTCGAAAATAATGATAAAAAAATTTTCTAAAAAGTAATTTTTTCCTTGTTATTTTGGGCACAGAAATCGGAGAGTCAGTATCACTGGATAACCATAAATATACGTTTTGAGTACAATGTGACAATTCACTACAACAGATATTGATGAATTCATTTTCATGCATGAAACATTTTATTCTTTGTAAAGATCCGCCAATGTTCCGGAAGATTATTAATACTTTTCACTCTAAAGTTAGCAATTTGTAAATAAATGTGGCGAAAAGAGTGCAAACGTAGCATATAGCAATTATAAATATGTGAAAGAGTTGCGGTAATAACAATAAGTGAATAAAAGGATAAGCATGATTATCGCTTTCAAGATCAACTTCCAAGGAATATTGAAATTAAATTGGGAGATGGAATCAGGTAAACAGAATCGGAATAAACTGATGCTTTGATGGAAGTACAAATGTCCTCAACCAATTCAAATTAAAGATACTAGAAATAGAAATGTATCCAAATCATCATCTGTATGAGTAAATCACAGCGAGATTCATACGCATAACTGGGATGTTTGCATTGATAACGAAATGGTTGATATTATGACAAAGTAATTTGGGATAACTTGAAGTATTTCACATTCAGAAAACTACGTCTAATTAATTATACTTCTCTTATATTTGTTATTGATCAGTAGACGATATGCAATATTTTTATCATCGATGAACGATTTCCATATGACACTGATCAGATGGAACACCACACCTCTATATGGTTTATGAAAAAAATGATAATAGTATTGCAATACTATTTCATACAATATTGTAACAAATAGTATTGATGACAATAGTATGACAGTAAATAGTATGACAGTATTAATAGCATGATAATAACAAAGAGTACCTATTTTCCGTTCAGCATTACGGTTACTTTGTTAGGCTTACACCTAGCTGGCAAGAGTGACAGAATAGTTGTCAGGTAAAAGATTTCGGATGCTACATTATAAAACTAATATTGAAATTTCGATCAATCGATATATATATGGATATCCTTTTATACAACTTAATTAAAGGTGAATGAAGAAATTCCCAAATAATAAATTTAATGCACTTTGAAGGATGCATCATGAATAATTTAAACTGCTAGAGATAGTTCTAAAGTTCGAAAAAAAGGAAGGGAATAAGGAACTCAGGAAAAAATAGTAATGGAAGTAGACAGATATATTTAGGTTGAAAATCGATCGAATTTGTTTTCAAATCGCTCCTGATCTTTTCATAAATCGGTATTATCATAATTCCTGTTATTCTTTTCTTTTAATAAGCTGCAGAACAACTCATACACTTATGTAAAGTGTTGTTAAATGAATAATGTTAGTAAATCTTGATCTCAGTGCTGCGTTCCGGAACACAGGATTGATGGTTTATATGGTTTATTCAACCCATCTGTCGAAAAAGACTCCTTTTTGAATTGATGAGTTGATCAATTTAGGTATCAAAAAATTTATTTTATAAATTTTATGTGACAAATTATTCACTTGAGGAATATTATGGATTTTAACTAAAACAACTCATATTTTATGGAATTTCTAAACTAAAACAACTCTAAGAAAAAAAAACTAAAACAACTCTAAGGAACATTATGAATTCTAATTAAAACAACTTTAAGAAATGTTTATTGATATCTAAGAAATGTTTATTCTAGGCCCAACGGAAGGAAATCCGCAGTTGAGACATACTTTGGCAGACATACGAAACCATCACATTGCCGGTCAAGGTTCAGTAGGTCAACAAGATGGCTCAAATGATGAGTATCCCTTAGAAAACTTTAACATCTTGGGCGACCTCGATGGTAATATCTTCGACGATCTTAACATACCCGACGACGTTGTTGTTAACATCGAAGATATTAACATCGACGATGTTGTTAACATCCCCGACGATGCTAACATTCCTGACGACTTCGAAGTATTTTGCCACCAATGAAAACTGTCTGCACGTAGTATATTGAAACTATTTATCTCGCCTATTTATCACCTCTCTCTCCCTCCGTTTATAAGTTTTATAGTGGAAAAAAGAAAACTTGGCCATAAGAATTAACCTTCTTTTTTGCCTTGTATGAATTATCTAAGGGTTTCATATAAAAAGATTTTCTATTGGAGCTTTGAGCGCATTTAACGAATATTTGCATTTCTTGACAAAATTTCAAAAATATCCCTAGCTAGCATTGATAAATGCCCTGATGAGGTAATTTGTTTGCTACAATGATAAACAATTGCGCTTAAAGCTTGCTTATACAAATCTGATGTCATTAGTGAGTCTTCCAACAGAGAATTTATCATTCTGGGTTGTTGTCGGTTAGAGCCATATCAGCTATTCCGTCTGATTAGTTAGATAATAACTTTGATTATAGATTGTACTACACTAAGCCAATGTGTCTGCCTGATTAATTAGATTTTTCGTTAAATGTGCTCAAAGTTCCAATAGGAAATCTTTTGATACCCTTAGATAATTCACACAAGACAAAAAAAAGGTTAATTTTTATGACTAAGTTTTCTTTTTTTGGTACAAAATTTATAAACGGAAAGGGAGACAAAGACAGGGGGAGAGAGATGAGATAAATAGACGAGATAAATAGTTTCAATATACTACAAGCAGACAGTTTGCATTGGTGGCAAAATACTTCGAAGTCGTCAGGAATGTTAGCATCGTTGAGGATGTTAACAACATCGTCGATGTTAATATCTTCGATGTTAACAACAACGTCGTCAGGGATGTTAAGATCGTCGAAGATATTACCATCGAGGTCGTCCAAGATGTTAAACTTTTCTAAGGGATACTCATCATTTGAGCGATCTTGTTGACCTACTGAACTTTGACCGGCAATGTGATGGTTTCGTGTGTCTGCCAAAGTATGTCTCAACTGCGGATTTCCTTCCGTTGGGCCTAGAATGAACATTTCCTAGATATCACGCCATTGAGTCAAACGGAGTGAGCGGTTAATCGCTGTTTGGTTTCGTAGATTGAATGATGTACTTTTATTTTTATGTATTTGTGATTTTTCCCTTATGTTAAAAAATCGATGAAAATGTAGAAAAGAGTGCAATAGAATATTCGTTTCTCTACTGGGATCAGTAATGACGTTATTGTCACCATTGTCAACAGCATTTAAATTCATCGGACTGTAAGGACGCTAATCGCTTGAGCTCTGTCACTCCTTTCATTATCACATCAGTAACTGCCAAACACCAATTGCGATAAACAACAAGCAACTATCTACTGAGATTAGAAAAATATTACAGTATTAAATTTTTAATTGCCACTTTACTGTCGTAAATGTTTTGTAACATATTTTCATGTGAACAAACACGTTGAAAATTTTCTCGTTAAATATAAACTTTGCGAAACTAACGGGTACCTTCGTGGTATCGTCGCTTATGCATCCGTAGTGCACCTTATAAGGAAAGAAATGGTCACAATTTTCACATTGAAGTTTAGGTTGATGTATTTCGTTATGCTGTCGAAAATCCCATTTGTAGCGGTATTCCCTTTCATATCCAGGCCAATTGCACTTATATACCACGTGCGTTTTAAGATGCTAGTCCATTTTCGTCAACATAGTCGCATTACAATAACGACATTTATACTTTTGCCCAACTGAAAAACTATATGACTTTGCGTTTACAAATACCACTTTATATGCTAATTAATGAAATAATTTGAAAAACGGTTGTATCAGCATCATTGATTAAACCTATCAAATCATATTTCGACTAACATAAATTACGAAATGTTGTTCATTTCTTTACCGTATGTTTTTCTAAAACAAAAATTCTCAGTGTTGCTTCTGATGGAAAAATGTCGGACAAGGGGCAATTCTGAATTTTTCGCTGCAACGAGATCAGCTTCTGATTTGGGATTCTTTGTAGCTTATATCATCAAATTCATGCAATTGAGTAAAAGCATAAACTGAAGGGATTAAAACAACATGTTATTATATAATTCTTTACTACTTGTCCCCGGTAATTGTCCAGTAGTATTGTCCGTTAGTATTTCTTCATCTACTGTTATATGCATCCGTATCTGAGGCAATTACTGCTAAATCTAAGTTGTCGTGGATGTTAAAGTTTTCTGAGAAATACTTACTGCCTGAATGATTTTGTTAACGTACTAAACTTTGTAATCGTTTCATGTGTTTACGGAAGTATGCCCTAACTGCGGATCTTCCGTTGGCATAGAATGAACATTTCTTACCTGGAATATTCTGAACTGAAGCGATCCATAGCAGAAGATTGAACCAAATGATGTATGCCATCGATATAGTGAAGAACAAGGTGACGTACAAATTTTCTGACGTGCAAGAAATGCTCGAATGGAAGCTTCTTATTTCAGACTAGTTGGAATTAAACGACCATGTTCAAACAGTTTATAATTCATGCCATTCACATTACTTCATATGTTTCTCTCTTTTGCATTCTCATTTTCCGATCTCTGAACTGGCAGTTTATGAATGCGTTTTTGGACTACTAGAAATAATGAGACGTTGGATGTTTCGAAAACGCAAGGAACGTGGTAATTTGCATAATCGAAACTGGCATTTTGTTGGTATTAAATGTGACTGGTTAAAGGCATAGTTCCGATGACATACAGAATGTAAGGATTTGCATAAATTAAAACTGGCGGATTATTGATATTAAATGTCATTGGCTAAAGGAATATTTGATCCGTACGATATTGAATTACTCTGTTTGCATTTGGTAGCATTGTTATAAAAATTTTCGGTTTTTCGGTTTTGTGGCGTTAGTCAATTGTTAATGCAAACATATTGGACATTACTGGAATCGTAATTAGCCATTATTGGAATTTTAATTACATCACAATTATTATATTCCAATTTTGATTAATTTTGATCATACGAGGCAAAACCAAATATATATATATATATATATATATATATATTGAGATGAGTAGAAAAAAAGAAAAGGAGATAAAATAATAGTACTACCGCGGAGAAATAAAAAAAGTAATAATAGATTAGTGAAATTCGTGCAACATTGGGTCGAAAAATATTCGATGTTTGATCAAATCGAATAGATATAATGTATTTGAAAATGTGTTCGATTAGTAGCAATGATCAAGGGCGAGAAAAAAAAGATGTTATAAAGCGAAGAGATGAATGACAAACAAATCAGAGGGAATATATGAAACAAGTCAATGAAGTGAAGAAAAAAACGAATAGTTGACATCTAATAAATCTTACTTTATGTATACGATCTGTTTTGGAAATACTTATAGGGA